AAAGACACAGCAACTGTCCTCAAATAAATATAATTTTTTTTCATATTTAATGAAGTAATTGCAATGATAGCCATGAATAAGAGTAATTGTTCTTACTAGTAAGAATGACATTAAAAATAATAGACATCTGGAATGAGACAAATATGGGGCAAAAAAAAGAGAAAATTATACTATGATTTTTAAAGTGATGAAAGAAACCTTCCAGGAGGTTATTAGAAAAAATTCTGCATAACTGCGCCTGCTTATGTTTCTTCTGTCATATTCTCCAACTTTCTTAGGTACTCTGTTCCCTTGTCACTTTTAAAAGTTACTCACTTGCATTCTTGTTTTCTCTGTTGTTTGATTATGCTGCCCTGAAAATGAGGACTATTTTTTTAACTTTCTGTGTAGGGACTGTGCCCCAGTGCTTGCAATCTTCTCTTCTACACTGAACTCACCCTGAAACCTCCCAAAACTTGATTCTGGTGATGGTGTCATCTCCTGGCTCTGACCCTAGGCAGTGGCCTCACCTATGGTCCCTGCATGACTCCATGATCCCTGGGACAGAGACAAAGGCATACTTTTCATAAGCAACTACTGATTTAAGATGATTGCACTAAGAAGTGCCATCTAAAGACATGCTTCATACTTCCTAAAAATCAGTATTTGATAGTCTTTGAAACTGGTCTCTACATTTGGACTTCTTAATGTTTCTGAATCACTTAAAAATTGGGAGCATTTTTCAAAAATTTTTAAATAATGTACTGTAAAAACAGACTATATTAAATCTTTTTAGGTATCTGTTTGGAAATGCAAGCTCTGATACAATGCAGTGGTGTGGGTTAGCTGAAAGAATAGGCAAAATTTCCAAAATTACTCGGCCACGCCAATAATTTATGAGCCAATTTTTAAAACATCAGCTATCAGATGGAAGTGGGAGGAATAATAGAATATAACTTGTGCTTTACAATGGCCTGTGAATGCAGAAAGGCAGAGGCGCCTGTGCTCTAAGGAAGCTGTCAGCAGAGCTGCAGCCTGGAGGTCCCAGTATCGCTCACAGTGCTGGCAAGGAGGAGACCCCTGCTCAGGAATGGAGCTGGAGGAGGGAAGCAAAAGGAAAAGGCTGTGGGGGGCTAGAAGAGGAGAATCGAGGATCTTTCTTCACCATTCTTTTTTTACAGCTTTTGTGTGTCTGGACTGATTTGTTGTGGGAGAGCTGCTGGAGACAGTATATTTGGCACAAGACAGGGTAGCTCAAAGCCAAAAGGATGGTGCTATTGCCAGTTTAAACTATGGCTTTTCTTTTTTACTTTTTTTTTTCTTCCCCCCTCCCTCCTTTTTCTTTGAAGGAAGGAAAAGAAAAAAGGGGAAGAAAGGGATTTGCAATGAAAACCAGAGCAGTGGGTTAACAAGAACCCTGCAGGCTTCAGTAGACTGGAAAGATACACGAGGCACTTCCTCTACCATCTGGCATGCAATGCTGCTGCTGCTGCTGCTGCTGTTCCTAGTACATAACTTTGGAGTGAATAAGCAAACAAGCAAAACTTTTTTTAAGAGACACCAAATATCAAACACCAGCGATTAATCTGTCAGCTTACTCTCTTCACTTTTCTCCCAGTACAGTATTCCTTTCCTCAAGTCTTTTCCAATTCTCATGTCTACCTGTGGAAATATGCACTGCCTTGTCATGTTTTCAGATGACTCCATTTGCCTTTTTTTGGCATTGCTTCTCAGAATGAATGAGGGACAGAGCTAATGCATTTATATTTCTCTTGTAATCACTTAAGCTTCTTTAACTTGGAGTCAGAGAGAAATGCTGTTGATAGAAATAAAGCAATCCATCTCTGCTGTGCTATTTCCTTCAAATATGGCTAGAAGTGTGAATGCAAAAAAGAACTTCTAGGTGAGCCAGGCTTGCTGAAGGACTGTTTAAAATGCAGTTACAAATGGCTGGGTACATTGCCGTGTAGGAGTATGCATGATGTTGAGGTCACATCTTCAAGTTGGGTAAATCACCACAGCACAGATGAAATCAGAGAAACAGAGAACTTGCAAAATCTGAGCATTTTGTCAATTAGAAATCTCTGAGAGTGATGCTACAGCTGATTTTTGGTGTTAGAACTCCTCATATTCAAATATAGATCTCCCAGGCTTTCCTGTGAGCAGCTCTTATGTGGCTGCATTCTTATAATAAAAAAGACCAAAAAAAAAGGTCAGTTACAGAAAAATCTTGGATGAATTCGAGATAAGTAATCACTGAATTGGAGTACAACTCTGAAGCATAAGTTTATTAAGAATAAGATTAATTAATTTACAGACATACCCATGAAAGCCAAGCAACAATTTGAATATTTTTTTTTTCATTCACAACTGCTGATCCTTAACTGCTGATCCTGGCCAGAAATCAGAAAGAAAAACAAAACAAAAAACTCCAGGCTATCTAAAACAGTTGTTTTCATTTGATAGCAATTCTACAAGAGAAAAAGTACATACATTTTCTTTGGTTTATTACACAGCTTCTTGAAATACTGATACTACAACAACAGATGTATTTCAGTTTGTTTTTTGACTGGCCTCCTCCTTTGCACCTGTAGAATTGTAAGTGAAAACAAATACAACAATTAATCCTGATCCTTTGCATAAGACAGGTACCTACCCAAGTGATCCAACTACAAATGATACAAAACCTTTCACAGTTTTAAGGACACAAGAAGTTAGGGTAGATTTTGAAATATCAGTAGATTTTTATTGTTGCTCTCAAGAGGGCTGGTGGCTAAGTCCTGTTGACCACTTAAATATTCAGATATTCATCTAAAAATTAGTCTGGACATCTGTGAATACATTGCCTTCCACAATGTCTGGTCTCCTTTATCATAGAATCATTATGGGTGGGAAGGATATCCATGACCATTGAGTCCAACCTTTGGCAGTACATCACCCTGCAGCTAAACCACGGCACTAAGTGCCGCCTTCAGTTATTTCTTGGTCACTTTTTGTATTCAGTGAAGCTGGAAATGGCACAAGGATAGCCTTTCTTTCAGAGCACCCTGGCACTTCTGCTCTTTGCCTCAGTGGGGACCACAGAGGTAAACAAAGAGGGAAAACAATAGCTGAAAAAAGTTACTGCAACTCCTTGTTGCACAAAACTAAAATTAAGTCGTTGGGGTGTAAGGTTTAAACTACTCAGTCAGCAAAGAGTCTTCAAAGTCTTCCAGACTTCAGTTGCAGAGTTTATCCCTCTTTGATAGGAACAGTGCTTCAAAGAGTAATTGCATGAGACTCACCAATATAAACCACCTAAAATATCACAATAAGCCATATGAAAATAAAACAAATAAAATTTGCCTTTCTAGAAAATTATAATCCCACATTATATGAATGTTGTCAGTGCTTGTGCTACTGTACTGCCCATCATCTATTTCTTTGTTCTTAACTCCTTTGTTCAAGAGTCAGGATATCCTGATACAAAAGACTGAAAAATATCAGCACAACAACAACATTACTACACTAATTTGGAATTGCTTCATAATTTTCAAGGCAAAGCTACCAAGTGTAGAGGGCCAATACTACGGCACAACAGTCTGCAATGAAAACTTTAGCAAACCATTACAGTTGTCAGTTTGAGGTTGGAACATCAATATATTCAAGGCAGAGATCCTGTAACAGGGGAAACGGCATGATGTTAATATGAGCAGGAGAGGCGTGCACTCTGTTTTTTACATGTAAGGGTGTTGAGTTTCAGTCCATTCTCTTGGCTTCTCTTCCTGTGGGAAGGAAGATCCTGCTTGTTTGACGGTTTATTTTTCCATCTGGAGAGAAGGCAGAACATTGAATGTAACCCAGAAAAGACAAATGTATTACCTATGCATGCGAGGGAAAGTTATAATGCCCAGTAAAATCCCATTTTAAAAGTCTGCAATTTTACTGAAAACTAAGGGCTGGTGCAAGAGCTCAGCCTCCACCCCTCCGCTGTACGCTCCGCAAACTAAGGGACAGACCAGTACCACGATCAGGCTAAAAGGTGCATCTTGTATAAAGGCAACATAAATGTTGTGAAAATCCAAGGCTCCTCCGGGTCTGGGATCCCCGGGAAAGGCCGGGTGCTGCTACAGGGTCTGGTCGAAGGCAGCCCTCAAGTCCGGGGAAGCCCTCGCTGACAGCTGCGCAGCCCCAGCACGCCACCTCTGCTGCTGCATGAGCCAGAGCACTCCCCCGGGCGGCTTTGCCTTGTTTTTAAAGATTAGCGATGAATAATTGCCTCCTCGTCGTAGTCTAGGAGCGACCGCTGCCACCAGGCACTGTCCTAAAGTGAACCTGTTCAGGTGGAGCTTTAGAGCCGCAGTGACTGCGGGCGCGGGGCAGACCCCAACACGCTCCCCTAGACCCGTCCTTTCAGCAACTCGTTCCTCTGCGACCCCTCCGCTGCCGCTCTGGGCGCCCGCTGGGGCTGGGGTCCGGAGCGGGGCAGGCGGGGGCAGCGCACTCGTGCTCCGCTCCCGGCCCTCGCAGCGTCCCGTGAATCACCGCCCATCCTCCCGCCGAAGGGCAGCCGAGGTGACGGCGGGGTTTGACTAAAAGGCCAAAACCCCCACCGGCTCCGCAGCCAGCGGGGCGAGGAGGAAGGCGGAGCGGTGGGGGCTCCCCCATGCCATCACGGCAGGGATAAAGTCAAAGTGTTTCCGCCGCGGCGCTTAGCGGGGTGCGAGCTGCGGCTGTGCCGGCGCGGCCCCGCTGCCCCGAGTGCCGCCCGCAGCAGCGGCCCAAGCCCCCGCCCCCGGGTCCCGGCGCCGCGCCGGCATGAGCGGCGGCCCCGCGCCTGCCCGGCAGCCGCTTCGCCCCGGCTGCAGGCGCCTGGCGGCGGGCTGACGGCGCGCAGCGGCGGGAGCCGAGCGCGGCCGCCGGAGCCCGGCGCTCCTTCCTTCCGCGGGGCCGGGCGCGCCCCTGGCGAGGGGCGGCGGCGGTGGGCAGCCGGGCGCCCTCGCCCCGCTCTGGATGCCCATCGCGGCTGCTCGGGCCGGGGGGTGGCTGCCGCTCCCCGGCGGGGGGCCCGGGCCAGGATGCCGGTGCTGGAGCGCTTCTTCCCCGCGGCAGAGCCGGGCAGGCGGAGGAGGACGGGGGACGAGGCGATGCCCTTTCCCATGGGCAGCCTGCCCGGTTATCAGCAGGGGACCCTGGCCTGGGACTTGCCCGAGATGATCAAGATGGTAAAGCTCGTTTGGAAATCCAAGGGGGAGCTCCGCGGGGCGAAGCACAGAGGCGTTTTGGAGAGCGAGGATGCCCTGGGCGGTTCGGCAGGTAGGTTTCCCCCGCGCTGCTGCTCGGGGAAGCCGCGGGGCAAACGCGGCTGGGGGCCGGGGGCGGCGGGGAGCCTCGGCCGGAGCCGGACCGTCCCGTCGTGGGGCAGAGCCGCGGGGCCGCGGAGCTGCCGCACCGAGCGTGGCCGGGCTGAGGAGCAGCCCGTGCTCGGGGCAGCTCTGTGCCGCCGCCGGGACTCGCGCACCGGAGTTTGTGCCGCGCTGGAGCCACGTCAGTTTGCCGATGGCGCTCCCCCGGTCCGGTTTGTTGCGTGGCTTTCGTACGCGGGGTGATAAAAGCTCGGCTGATAACCAGAGCGAGTAGCTCCGCTGCTCCGAGGCTGAGCTCCGCCGCGGCGGCCGGGCTCCGTGCGGGCGTGGAGAGCTCTCCCGGCCCGCGGTCGGAGCTCCGCAGCCGCGGCCCCGCGGTCAAGGTGACGGAGAAGCGGCGCCCCGGGGCCGCCGGCAGCCCGGCCGCTGCCGCAGCTTCCCCGGCTGTGTTGGCCGTGCCCTCCCGAGCGCATGGCCTCTCCTCTCCCACCGCCGAGCCTCTCCCCGATCTTTGCGTGCGCCGGGCTCCCTTCACAGGACCTGCCCGCGCTTCCCTTGTGCAAAGCTAAAGGACTCCCTTACGGCTTGGATTTTGATAGCCACCACTATTAAAAACTTGAGAAACGCTGCCCTATCCCACTGCTTTCTCTTTAAACGTGGTGTATTACTGGGTAAAGAGCACGTGCCTTTTCCTTAACTGTGTAAATCTTGTCTGTCAGTTTTTTTCTGATCTCACTAACATATGGCATGCCATCACGTGCTTTACTGAAGTCCAGGTTAGACCTGCAGCATTTGCATTAGGTAGAGAGCAGTCGACAGGTTAGCAGGGTACTTCTGATCAGTTGATTCTGCATCTTAACCTGTGCTCTGCACTGCTTACGGTTCAAAACCTCTTGCCTTCTGTTAAAATCAGGGTCACAGGCCTATGGTTATCTCAGTACCAGTTGGTAATTTTTTATCCTCCTCTAATTGCACTGCTGTGATTTAACAGACTTTATGAAACCTTCTGGCTTGTTTCTTCAGAACTCTAGATTATCTCATCTCTGTGGCTGGGTCACTAAATTCTTCTGATGCATTCAGTTCTTCAACCATTGTGCCTTCACCTTCCTTTGGTGTACCTGTTATTGAGACATATAATTGACAGTACTTTATTTAATCAGAATAATTTAATTTCTTAGGTAGAATCACCTCTTTGTAGGTATTTTGAAGCGCTTGTTTTGTGTACGTATGTATATATTCTCCATAATTGTATATATAAACTTGAATAGGTATCAGTCTATCACTTTTGAATGCCTGCTACAGTTGGCTGGTTGGTCATTGTATGTCTGTTATTTAAAATATGTGTAGTTTAATCAAAGAATGCTTGGTCCACTTCCATTTTGAAAAAGGGGAGATAGGTCTCAGGCTCTGAGGAAGATGTACAATCTGTCACCCTACTTTTGAGGGATCACTGCAGTTTAAAAGAATAATAAGTAAGAGTGAGTGGATAATGAAAGAGGAGGTCATATTGCTCTTTAAGACTTGGAGCAAACCAGCTGGGAATGGACGGTAGCCAGCCAGGGAGATCGAGGCTTGTGTGGTGAATGCTGAGTGTTCAGAGATGGACCCTAATTAAGCAACTCAAGAAATGCTGCCTTGCTTACACAGTATGTATGAGTAATGGTGGTTTTTCAGTGTGCTTGTGTTGTATCTGGTGAAATTACTTTCATTAGGTAACAAATGAGATTCACCTTCAGATTCCTGGAGGCAACTAAAAATGAGCGTGAATGCCAAGAGACAGATTAGTCGACTAGCAGGATGTGAGTAACTTGCATTTACTCAAATGGCCATTACTCGTATCCTGTGGAGGGGACAGTCCTCTTCATGGTGCCAGATCTATTTCATAAGCTCAGCTGACTTGCAGCAGTACAAATCTGGGCAGAAGATAACTCTTAACTCTCAACACTTTAAATACGAATCATCAGACGGTTTGAGGGAGCCAGACCTGGGTTGCTGGTTTTTCCTCCTCAGCAACAGTCATCCTAGTAGTTTTCCCTCTTGTGGTTTTGTTTTAGTCACTTGAAGTACATTGGAGTATGTGGGAAAACCAGTAAATGCTGAAATCTAGTATACTTAAATAAGTGCAGAGTCAAAGAATGCAGAAATGGGGAGAAGAGATAATCATTTGGAAGGCTCAGTAGTTTGAGGTACTCAGCTTCATGTTTGTGTGATGTTTTTTACATGTTTGATTCCTGGAAAAAAAAACCAGAACAAAACTTCATAACTCGTATCTTATAAAAAAGGCAGTACTTAGTCAGGAATCAGATTTTCTTCAGGTGGAGTTAAAGCAAATAACTTCTGCTTGAGGTACTCCTAGCTAGGCAAATAAAGGTTGATTGCTCAGTAGTAGAATTCACAGCACTTTCCACATCAAGGGTTTTTTCATTTGAATTTGTAAGTATTCATGTGATAACTCATGTTCTGTTATCACATCCTCATGAAACTACTTTGCTTACAGTAGAAGAGGAAATAGATATGAATTCTGGAAGGAAACAGTCAGGATTTCTGGCTTGCTTGATCATGTTAATACAAATTTAGCTAAGCAAATTTCTTTGCCTTGTCCGAGTGATCGGACTGGGCTTTGGACTGGGTGGCTAGAAAAGTCACAACCCTCTTAACCACAGACAGTGTGAAGGAGGGGGAGCTATATCTGCACATGATGTCAGTTTTGTGGATGGCAACGTCTTGGGGACCCATTTAGCCGTAATTTATACCACATTCCCCATTCCTGAGGTAGAAAGCAAAACGATCTATGTGTCTTGGGCTCTCATATGTAAGAGCTATATCTGGGTCTTTCACCTTGTCCAGTACTGAGAATAAGCTACTTAATCTCCCTGCAAAAAAAAAGGCTTTGCAATACATCAATGCAGCATGTAGTTGGGATGAATGAAGAACTCGGATTTCAGTGACTGCCTGCCTAGGGTTTGTAATGATGATTTATTTTCACTTCCAAAGCAGTAGAACTCACATCTTGAGTCTTCTCTTGTTGCACTGCTTTTTAATGTTAGCATCAATTAAGACTACAGACCTTTCTCCTGCTCCTGGCCTGCTGTTGCTTAGTAACTCTTCCCCCCCCCATTTCAATTCCTGACCAAATCAGCACAAAACTGAGATTTGTTGAAGAGTCTCTCCGACTGTGACAGGAGCCATTTCTGTAGGAAATGGGTATAATTCAATGTCATTCCACACTGTGTTTCAAATAGATTATTTGCAAGCCAATGCCTTTTACTTGAATGAAATAACAGCATGTGTTGATATTATAACAACTGAATTATTCAAATAATTCTGATCTGCAACTGTGTTGATCTCTAGGAGGGAACTGTGTTCTGTTTATGACCCCAACTTTCTTATCACCCTCTCCTAGAGTTCAGCAGTAGCTTTGCATATCAAACCAACCTGATCAGGGAACAGGTACAGGTTTGCCTCCAAGTCTTCCTTAGGAGCATTAGCAACCTCTTAAGCTTACAGTGATCATCCCAGATAACTCCATAGAGACTTTCTGTACCGAGTCTTGCACATGTGCGAACATGCATGACTTTGAGAGAAGGTGCTACTAAGAATTATTAAGGTCTGTTGAGACACCATGGGTTTTTTTGAAATAACTCTGAATGTTTTTTTCCACTCACCTCTTTCTGTTGGTGGATGTTTTCTCAGAAATGTAGGTTCTGATTCATGTGTGTATCATGCTTGTTGTTAACTGGTGAGTCCCTTTGTCATGAGTAGGAAAAACAAGCAAGTACCACTCCTATTACAGTTGGGAAAATCTCCACCAGTTACTAGTTTGTCTCTTCTCTTTAGTCCATTTTAGTGTCCTTTACAGTTCAGTAGTCTGTTCAAACTTCCTGCTTGTTCTTCCAAACATTAGAGCTGAGCAATCTTGTGATATACCTGTTGAAGAGCTCAGAGTCAAATCATGTGTGTTTCCTCAGTGGTTGCTTGAAGGTCTTCCTTAAAGTCATTCACAAGACTCTCAAAGACTTAATTCATCCATAGTATACCAGGAATCATGCCTTCTACTTAATTTTTCTTTTGTATTTAACAATTTTTATCATGCTGTGTAACAGCTTTGCTGTTCATGTTAAAATAAACTTCCCCTTCCTATCACTGCTTATAGAATCACAACCTGATTTGGGTTGGAAGAGTCCTTTAAAGACCACCGAGTTTCACCCCCCCGGCCATGGGCAAGGACACCTTCCTCTAGACCAGGTTGCTCAAAGTTCCATCCCACCCAAGCCTTGAAGACTGCCAGGAATTGGCATCCACAACTCCTCTGAACAACCTGTCTGGGTGCATGTTTGGTTGTGACACCTTGAAACTCATGCTTGCATTTGTAGTTCCACTGCAGTAACTAATGATCATAAAATCTTAAAATTTAAATCTGAGAATTACTGAGAACCAAATGGGGGTTTGGCTAACAGCTTAAAAGCTCATCGTTTTGAGCATTTGGTGCTGAGCATGTAGGTGCCACAAATGTAGATCCTAGTAATAAATAAAATGTGGGAGGTATCAAATGGCATTGTTTTAGCATCTGACCAGTCTCCTGTGTTATTGTTTAGATTGAAATCAGCTTTGTTTATGTCCTGCTGACAGATGCACAGCAGGTAGGAGGGCAGATTACTATATATTTCTGAGGTTAGGTTTTCTTTTCTTCTTTTCTTCCCCCAAGTTTTATGTTGAGACTTGTTCAATCCATTGCACTTAGAAGGACAAAGAATGTGAATTTGATATGATCAAGACTACCTGTGGCAAGTTTGATTGCTCGCTGACTGTTGTGTTGAAAGTCCTGGGCCTGGGAACAAGAAATATGCTATTCTGTATTTCGTGAAGAGCTGGTTAAATGAGTGGAACTGTGTGTGATGGTCTCATTAAGAATGATGAAATTAAACAGTGTACAGTACCACTTCTGTAGTG